AATTTTTATCAATTTTTTCAAGCCAAACCATATTTTTCAGCAATTTATCTTGTAGATAAATTGTTGGATAGGTACATCTTGTACAGCTTTGATCGCTTTTTGCAAATGTTCTATGCTATATTGAACTTTTGGAGTCTTTGGCATACTGAAAATGAAACATTAAAAGTCATTTCAATATTTATGCCTGTAATTTGCAAAACAAATCTAGCAATGAGCAACTTAAACACTGCTACTGCATGGTGGCAAAACTCTAATAATAATTGCCCTGGGCAATAACTATACATTAACATATGGCAATAACTGAAATTATGGTGGGCAATAACTAAAAATATACAGATTTACGTGCAGTGATTACCCACCGTTAAAATGACTGTTAGAAATCAAGTTTTATCAGTTATTTTCATTGATAATGGAGAAAACACTTATAATTTCATCATGACCATACACCATTAGTTGAATATTAAATAACTTGCAAAAAAAAATTAACCTCTAAGCAAGTAATTCCTTAGTAAAATTGTTAAAGTCTTTACCTGTCTGAGTAACATTTTCACCCGTCTTGACAAAATCCGCCATAACTGTTTTTTTTTTAGTGTTTCCTATTGTAAATTTTAAATCTACTCTTGATTGATCTCGGAGCCATCTACTTAGTAAATTCAAATCTAACTAGAGTGATTCAAAGTCAGCACCTGACAATATTATTCTTAAAGCGGGCAATCACTACCAGTGGGCAATCACTCTCTGGTTTACCCTACTTACGATTAATTATTTTGTTACAAGTTTTATAAATAGTTAAATAAAATTCTTATTATTTTTAATTATGGTTTTTGTTTTTAAATATTCACTCTTAATACCCAGCATCGGGAAACTACGGACTGATAAATTGGAAAATTTACTTTAAAAATCACAATATAACCCAATGATGTCATTAAATATATTAACCCTTGGGACACACACAATCGCGATAAAATTCGAGCGAGTACTTATTGGTACGAGTGAAGAGAGTATGTCACGCGCGAATCATCGGGTTATAGCTATGTTTGTGGCCAAGGGGACGTCCAGTACTATTATAGTTTTTTCATACCCTGCCACACAATATAAGTTAGTACATAATATAGGGTAGGTACGAAAAAACAAGACTGAACAAACATGTAGTTTAGTAAAAGTTTAGGTATATTTAAAATCAAATTAATGATATTGATATGGTACGCAGCGGCGTAGCGTCTTTCCATTCTATACATAGCCAGAACGCAAGGGTGTGAAACTAATCGAGTATAGTTTGGATATGACTTTTTTTACTAAGCTCCTCCAAACTATACACGACCAGTACGCATACGCTGCGTACTGCTCGCGTATACTTTGTAGTGACTTAGGTCAATTATCTTCCTCCAAAATATACATCGTCAGTACGCATACGGACTAATCATGTATGTATTGTAATAAGTTCGCGATTACAATATATACGCGAGTACTTAGTTGCATGCTCGTCATTTTGACTTATTTACCTCTCTTTCTATTACATATTAATTCATAACTGAGTTTTTTGGTGTTTGTATTCTGCCATAGAAAATATATTTGTTTTGGGGCTGATATTTTATCAATTCTCCAATAACTCTAAAATTAAGAATTATGTATGTCAAAATGATTTTGTTCTTGAGATAAAAGCTTATAAATAAAAATAAATATCCCTGGACATTTTACACTGCGCTTCTAGTCCCAAACTAAGCAAAGCTTGTACTATGGGTACTAGATAACGGATCTGGGGGCACGGCAGTGCCCCCACCAAGTCGAGCGCGAAGCAAACACTGCCGTACCATCCTTTACTGGAACCATTTCGCCGCATTTTCAGGCCCCTATTTGAGAACCTCTGGATAAGACCAGAACGCAGAAATTTTCGTCATCTAGTAAGCTATAATCACATACCTAAAATCCAAAATTTCAAGTCTGTTGGTCATTTAGTTCCGAAGTTAAGCGAAAGCAAAGTTTCGAATTTATGGCACTCACTCACTCACTGATGATCATCAAAATAGAACTAGTACTTCCCATAAACTCAGAGAGCTGAAATTTGGTACAGAGTTAGGGTTTAATGGCCACATAAAGGGAAAACTATAAAAACTAGGAAAATCGAAGATCTGGAGTAACACCACATTCATAATCAATACTACTAGCGCCACACCGGCACTTGGCGTTCGCCTGTACTGCTCACCGCTAGATGGCGCTAGCACTTTGTTTGAGCGTCGATTTTCTACACCGCGGTGTCCAGATTTTTTTTCCTTTCTAGACCCCCCCCGTCGATTAAGTTGAATGTTGTGTAATTTGAATTTGGTTGATTTCGTTTATTATATCGTGAGGTTCTATAAGGTTAAGTTATTATTAAATCAATTTTCTGATTCGTTGTCCATTTTAAAGGTCGCTGTGTTTAATATCGTAAAAAAAATGCCGATAATATTAAAGGACGACGACGTTAAATAATTATGCCACATTCTACAAAAAAGAGTGAAATCCCACCAAAAACATTCTGTAAAAAACTAGCCAAGTCTCGATGGAGCTGCTTGTTTATCTCTAAAAAGTAATGAAATCTAGACAAAGTCGTGCCAAGTCTATGGTTCCTTACTGCGATTTCTTTATTATTATAGTTAATGTTGTGTGACTTGGCCGTTGAACAATCTTTATTAAGATAATAAGTATTATTGAAATACGCAGCTTTATTAAGCCTACAATTGACTGGTTATTTAATCAACGTTTTCCAAGTGGCAATTTTCCATCGTCAATGGGTAGCGGTTCTGGCAACAGATTGATGCAATGGTGTCATGGAGCACCTGGTTTTGTACCCTTCAACGGCCAAGTCACACAAAATTAACTGTAATAATAAAGAAATCGCAGTAAAGAACCATAGACTTGGCACGACTTTGTCTAGATTTCATTACTTTTTAGAGATAAACAAGCAGCTCCATCGAGACTTGGCTAGTTTTTTACAGAATGTTTTTGGTGGGATATAAACATACTTAAATACTTTTTTTTGTAAATACATACTTATTATACATAGAAGACACCCAGTCCAATACAAACAAATATGTTCATGCACACAAATTAATGTTTGTACTGTGCGGGAATCGAACCCGCTACCTCCGGAACAGTTATCCGTTTCGAACCACTACACCAAACGGTCGACAATTTTAGTTAATAATGCACGTTTAACTTTCTTCATTCACTCTCTCTCATTTTAAATGAATTTATGATTACACTAATAAATAATTGTTATTTAATTTGAAATCTACCTAATCAATTTAATTTCAGAAACCACTTACATTAGTGTTATAAATCTAGATTTATTATATGTAGATTCAGTAAAATAATAATATTTTATGTAATAATTAATTAATTGAAAAATGGCATCACCGTACGTGATACTACATAGGTAGTTCTTATTTCTAATCTCTAGGACAAAGCACGAGCATAATATCTAATAATAAAAGTAATAATTCCATATTTTACTAAATCAAATCAACTAAACACACTCTAGTCAACTGTAAGTGGTGTAGTATAGTTTGGAGCGAAGACGGAATCCATCCACGATACAAACTATACACGATCAGTACGCAAAATTCGTGTATAGTTTGTTGTGACCGATTTACAAAGGGACATTCCGAAATATACACGAGCAGTTTCCTATGGGTGCGTTCTGGCCATGTATAGAACGGAAAGACGCAGCGGCGTAGGTTCAGTAAGAATATCCCTTTTAATCCCATTCACCCCCTTTAAGCTTGCACAAAGTGCCGATTTATGGGTCTTTTTTGTAAGAAGCGCACTTTAATTAATTTTATTGTAGGGCAGTTTTGTACGGTGCGGTTGCGCCGACGTTGTTTCAGCATGAATCAGAGAATATTTATAATTCAATGATTGGCTCATATTATTCGGATTTACCAAAACAACTGTGAAAGGTTATCATTACTACGAACTGGGTATTCTTTGTAAAAGATAAAATGCTCAAGTAGTTAACTAAACGTGGGTTCCGTGGTCCTGACAAGGAACCCTTATAGGTAGTTTCGTCATGTCTGTCTGTCAGAGGTTTTGCTTGGAAACTATTGGCACTAAAGAGCTGTAATTTTGTTGAAGTATGTATATAATCACGCCGATAAAGCGGTAGAATAAAATATTGAAAAAATATTTTTTTAGGGTAGCTATAAAGTACCTAAAGTGGGGATGATTTTTTTTTCATCTTCTACCCCATCGTGTGGGGTATCGTTGGATAGGTCTTTTAAAATTGCTTAGGGGTTTCTAAGACTATTCTTCGATTCAGGGATCCGTTTGCAAAATATTAAAGTTTAATATGCCAATTTTTGTTCGAGTAGGGCGTCCCCCCCTCTAAAAACTAAGCCGTTGGCTTGAAAAATCTGGAAAAATTCAGTGCTTTTTAAGAACTTTCAAGGAAAATTATAACGGTTAAGATAGGTCAGTTAGTTCAAGAGGAATAGTCGTTTAACTCAAGTAGGTATTATAAAATTTCTTACCTAACAAAAATTCTTTGGAAGAAAATATTAAGTGACTTTAGATGACATAATTGCTTTCTGAAATATTATTGTGTTAACGACGGACATTACGGAACTCTATACTGCGCGTGGCACGACACGCACTTGGCCAATTTTTTTTACCATCAGGTTAGTCATGAATGAAGCTAGCAACTTACTATGCTAGAGCGTGTGAAAATTTTTGGAAAAAAAACTTCAATAATTGCGTTTTAAATCATACTTACGTGCTTAGCTAATAAAGTTCTGAAATTCATATTTTGAGTGCAGTAAAGGTCTAAAATAGAAGGCGATGCTATTCACCTTAGTGATTGCGACTATATGCAGCGCAGGCGCCCCTAAGGTCACACACACTCACGGCCGTATTTTCCTGAGCACGGCGCGGGGCGGGAAGTTTACAAAATATGGATTTTTTGATAAGCAATACTACTCTTATAAATATCTGGAGCACTGTGATTTCGTGCGAGGCATCTCCTGAATACTTACTAGTTAGCACATTTAATTTGTTTAGAATAATATTAACACAAGTGCAAAAATATTTCGCTAGAAGAATTAAAACTGTGCTATATTATTCGTTAAGATAAGATTGGATATTCAATAATTGTCTTTTCTGTGTAAGTGCATTGGGCATGTTTTCACATGCCAACAACATGTATCAATAGAATGTCCATTTCGGACGTATAATAAATTTCATTACAATAATTTAATTTGATTTCATTAATAAGTAAATATTTAATTAAAATATTCATTCTGGTATAGGTCTGCAATTGCAATGTCGTCCCCAAACGGTGAAGTGACTTATCAAATTTGTCAACGCAGCCTTCTCCAAGAGGCAATGGCACCATCGGCTCCGACATTAGAATCTGATCTTCCAGAGAATATGGAGCACACGATAAAAGAAGATGGAATGACTCCATGCTGTGTCAGGAACCGGCTGAAGATCGAAGCAGACATCAAGAAAGCGCAGTTGCGTAAAGAACAGCTCACGAAAGAAAGGAAGATTATGGAAGAGGAGTTCAAGGTGAAAGACATGTTGCTGGATGCCGAGATGGAACTGGCAATATCGTCACTCAAGTGCGCTGAAGAAGGAACCAGTACTAGCAATAACAGCCAAGTTAATTATGTTGACCGATTACCAAATTGTGAAAGTAGTTTTGGTGCCCTTAACCAAGTACGTCAAGGATGGTCCTTATATGCGAAAGAAACGAAACCAGAACCTATAGGCAAGTAATTAATTAACCCATTTATAGTTATTTTGTCAGCGACCAAATTCATAATTTATGATGTTAGGTATTTCTGTTACCATATTAGTGCTGATACAATGCAGTGAGTGATAAGTTTTCTCTAAAGAATACATTTAAAACGATAAACCTTGTTTACTATGTAACGATTAAGTGACTACAATTCTAGTAGGTATAATATTATCCAAAATGTAAATTTTTTGCTCCGTCTTACTCTTTCTGCATGACCCGTGGTTGACTAGCAGAGAATGCCATCCGGCATTAAGTCCGCCACAGTGCATTGTATTTATGTGTGCTAAAGTTAAAAATAAATAAATAAAATAAGTAAATTCATAAAAACAATGCGTTCTTTTATAGTTCAGTCGGTCAATCTCGGCCCAGTAAGGTTTTAAAGAATTTTTAAGTAAGGTATTTATTAAGAAGTTGCAATTATTTATATTCTTAGGATTAGAGTACTTATCAGCACTTGACTCTCTCTGGATACGGGAGGTGGCATCACCGGCGGCGGACGAGTGGTACGAGGTGGTGGCTCCGGGGGATGTGGTCATCCTGCGGGTCATCCTTTCCTACAGTTCAACTAATACTTTCTTCGGGAGAAAGACTTCAATCCAACTGGACATTTTCGATAACAATGCGAATGAGGTAAGCAATTCACTTTCCTGTCAACGTACACTGGTCAGGCAAGTAGGTTAGACTTTTCTTTTCTTACTTCTTCACCGTATTCCTCCTTTCCGGTTGGATTATTTGACAGTGGAATCTTTTACTAGTTAATTTTATATCTTTACTAGCGGCCGCCCGCGACTTCGTACGCGTGGATCCCGTTTTACCCCCTTAGGGGTGGAGTTACGTAAAATCCTTTCTTAGCGGATGCCTACGTCATAACATCTGCCTGCATGCCAAACAGCCCGATCCGTCCAGTGGTTTGGGCTGTGCGTTGATAGATCACTATATGTCAGTCAGTCACCTTTGAGTTATTATATTTAGACTAGTAAAGAACGACGAACACTCCTTCTGAGAAGTTTGTGAACCGCTTGCGATTAAGAAGAAACTGATTATATTTCATGTTTTGTCACATAAATTCCCAGCTTAGTAAATAATAGTACATTATCTTTATATCCAGCTCATCAACTTGCGTGCAGACTCCTCCGAGTACGTAAGGGTGTTCGTGTGTGGGGAACTGTTCGCGCTGATCAATCGGGCCTGGGCCTTCAGGCCTATCCTGGTCATCCGCAGCAGAGACTGCATGCCCGTGCTGAAGGTCAAGGCACCACATGCTATAGAGAACAACAAAGTGATCAGGGTAGGTAACATTTTTCAGGGTTTGTTATCAAATTGGCACTGATGTTGTTATTTAATGCGTAGAACTATTATAGGTACGTAAGCAATACCATGGCTTTTTAGCCCGCACTTTTCTGTCTTTGGCAGAAGCCGCAGGCTCCACGATTCGAGGTTCACAAACGTTATGTGGCGTTCCTCGAGACAAAGTATAGTCTTAGGATAAAGTTAATAAATTGTAATTTGGTTTTTATAACAGAACTAGCAGACCCGGCGAACTTTGTTCCGCCTTAATGTCAATAAATAAGCAGACTTTTTTTTAATTTCGAACGGGATAAAAAGTATCCTATGTCCTTCTCCTGGCTCTAAACTACCTCCCGGACAATTTTCAGCTAAATCGGTTCAGCCGTTCTTGAGTTATAAGCGAAGTAACTAACACGACTTTCTTTTATATATAACTAGCTGACCCGGCAAACTTTGTTCCGCCTTAATGGCAATAAATAAGCAGACTTTTTTTTATTTCGAACGGGATAAAAAGTATCCTATGTCCTTCTCCTGGCTCTAAACTACCTCCCTGACAATTTTCAGCTAAATCGGTTCAGCCGTTCTTGAGTTATAAGCGAAGTAACTAACACGACTTTCTTTTATATATATAGATAATGCTTTTTTGTATGAAAGCATATCAAAATCAAAAATCAAAATCAAAAATATTTATTCAGTTTAGACCACAAGTGGCACTTATGAACGTCAATAGAAAATAATAAAAAATGAAAAGGTAGCCCTTATGGGGCACTTTACATGTCTCCTTATCTTTTGGGCTATATACTTTTTATGGTGTAATAGGGTTCAATGATGCAGGTGAAAAGTGGCCAATGTACCTAAACTCGTATTTTATTTTCGTCCAGGTGCAGACGGTAGACAAGCAGACCATAGGCCGCTTGGACAAGTGCGGGGTGAAGTCTCCTGGCCACCACGCCTTCCTGACGTTCCCTCTCGATCTCCACGCCAAGTACAAGGCCGCCCTCATTGCCAGCAGCTTCCTCATCGTGAGTGTCTTCGTCAAAACCACTTTTGACTGATTTTTGCAGTTTTTGACTAATAAGTAATTTGCTCTGGCTTGTACTGCATTAAAAAAATCTTTCGTAATAAACATTTGGGTAATATAGCACAAAATTGTTAATATTGCAGGTTTCCGGGATCACAAAGGAACTGCGCAAACGCAAACGAAGGGTCAATAATGGCGGTAGTTAATTAAAAAGTGTTTGGATGGACTTTAGAAGTGTGGATGAGGATGTCAGTTTTATTAAATTATAAAAAAAATATTTCATCAAATTAAGATTAAAATATATTTGAACGCTGAATGATGAGGAATGATTGGTCTATGGAGGAAACGAAAGGGATGAATGAGGATTGAGACTGAGAATGGTAGTTTAAAAGAGGAGTCTGTTGATTGCAGAGAGTGTGTTGTGGACGACGTAAGACGGAAGACGAACAAGTTGTGTAATTATAGTAAAAGACGTGTAATACTATTCTAGTGAAGATAAATATATCCAGTTATCAGCTTTACTCTAGTGTTATCTATTGGAGAACTCCCACTTCCCACATCTGTCAACCATACCTACTATTTGTTTTATTAAATGAAATTAAATGAAAATGATTTATTTGCAAAATGATTTATTTGCAGAATGTAAATGTACATTAGATAGATGTTACATAATGAAATAGAGCAGAACACATTCGCCAGATTATTTAACAGAGTAGGTACTTATTAATATTACGGTGGCTGTTTTAATTCACTGATTATGTAGGTAGTTGTTATAACCGTACCCAGACTCCCCTACATAAACAAACATTACAAATCCTGTTCAAACTGCCTACCATTATTTTGTACGGAGCCTACGACGCCGACGCAGCGACGTACTTCATTCACTGTCACTCGCGATGAAAGTGAGGTTAAAATTTATTGTTCAGTAGCTAACTAGCTACCAATATCCTCTTCCTCAACTCTTTAATGAATGTCACAATAACATACACTAAGTCCTTCATGTTCTGTTCCCTTTTCTATCTAAATTCAATTTACAAATCAAAATGAAAATTTTGTCCTACAGCGCTCTTTGGCAGATTTTTTTTAAAACAGCGAAGAAAGTTGATAACTTTTGTAACTTTTTGGAAAGCTTATGAATCTTTTTAGTTATTCTACTAATTTGTAATCCAACTTCCATACAGTTTTTTTCCAATACCTTACGGCGAAGTTCGGGAGAAATCAAAAAATAAAATATAATTACTTACTTACCTATGTTCAGCAGTGGACGTCCTATGGCTGAAATGATGATGATGATGATGATGACTTACTTATATACCTATTGTTACTAACGACCGTTTTCTAAGATTATGCAAGTTTTGGGCAAGCACTTTTTTAAATGATCCCCAATTTTTCATCTTTCAGAAAAGTATCAATTCGTGTTTAGAGTGAACTGGTTTTTTCAAAATGGTTTTTGGTAACAAGTCAGAAATTTCTAAAAAACTCGAATAAAGTAACCATCCAGTTTTACTTTTCACCCCTGGTTCACTGGACTTTTTTTGTTGCTAATGACCTCTAGTACAATCCCTTTCAAGGAATAGGTCGAGTTTCCCAGTCACCCTGTATAATATTACTCGTATAGCCCGACCAGGAACATAAAAACCCTCGCCATGTTGCGGAAAACTAATGGTACTAATTTCTTTTAATGGCAACAGTAACTGAAAACTTCATTGACATGTCACCTTGCATGTCAGTCTATTGCTGTCAAAGTGTAAATAAACTTTATTTTAAATGTGCGCAATTGGTTTTGTGAATTAAATTGCTAAAATCTTTTTATAGTCGTGAAAGAAAAGTGGTTCACAATGTGTTATAGTATTTGTCGAAGAGAAATACTAAGGGTTCGGACAATATTTTCATTGAATAATGTTTCCGACAAAGGTTGTCAAATTGACTGACATGTTTATCGTATAGTACAGTCCACTATGAAAATTAGCTGTGGTTTGTTTCAACTAGTTACCTATTTTAAAAATGTTTGTCACTTTCTAAGTGTTGAATGTTATAGAATTGGGAAAGAAGTACCGAGTTTGAAGCGTTCATGAGCAGACATTGCAGGTGAATATTCAAGTTCTGAATTTGATTATTGATGAATAATAAAATAAATTCTACTAGCTCGATTGATGGTTTCATTTAATTTATTTAAACCAGGTTACCTATAATAATATTTTTTCGTTAATTTATGAAAATATCAAATTAGCCCGTAATCCTGAATCCTGATACATAAAGTTAGCCTATTAATTTAACACAGGTACGACTGTACTCAGTGTTGCACTATCAAATGCAATTGACGCGCCTCTATGCCAGGGTTTTTATGTTCCTGGTCAGGCTATACTACAGTTTCATTCTTGGAAACCCTGAAGCTTCTAAAAACGCACTTGATGTCTACAGCGCCATGCAGCGGAGATTCGGGGAACTAAAGTGCACATTGAAACATGCTGTTTTCAGCAACATGAAAGATTTCAGGAAGAGTCCCGTTGCGGGCACAGATGGAAGTTTTCACTAAAGAGCATCTATTTTATTAGTTTAGCTCTTCTTTCTTTCCTATGATATTAGTCAAAATTTTCAAGTTTACCTACCTATATGGAGTGTTTTATGGTATTAAGGAAAAAACTTAAACAATGTAAATTGTTCTAGTTATCAGTTGTTAACAATACACCTAGGTAGTTTTAAAAACTGTGTCAGTTAATTTATAACATTTTCATAAGCTCGTTTTATGAAATTTTGAGGTCAAACAAGATTCAGGTAAAATTATCTACACTTCATAAAGTCATCTCGGTAAAAAGTCGAAGCAAACATTACAGACCCTTAGTTGTTTTATTAACGAATATATTTAATTAGTCGACGGACGCGTTGCTAATTGCCGCCAGCAGGGGTCGCAGGTAGTGATGTAGTAAAGCTTTACGGATTTTTACTTGTTTTGTCGGTTACTAACGCCCATATTCACAAAGGATGCTTGCTTAAGTGAAGCAGCAAATCGAACGCACAGCGTTGAATAGAGTTTGTGATTGGTTCTGTGTCACCCTGCGTCCACACGCACTGTGAGACCTCATAGTAATGTTTGTGAATACGGGCGTTAGTAGAGGACGATTTTTGAATGTTGTGTGATCAGTTGCAAGTTGCGACAAAAAAACTATCACTTATAATTAATTTATTGAAAAATATTAAATAATTAAGTTTGTCTTAGTTGAGTAAACTGAGTATGAAATAACTTTTATTGCCGAAATTCAATATGAACTCATTTCGTCATTTACAACGACGGTTCATTCTTCCCACTTATCGGTACCTTTCGGATACTGCCAAGTGTGATCGGATACGCACCGATAGTTCCGGGGGTCACTAGCGCCCCTGGCGGCTAAGCCACGCATTAAGCATTCACTGGTACCTAATTTCGTTGGGAAATCATTTTGTTAATTACGTTTCCTTGTGTCAAATTTAATTATTTTTTGCGTCGCGAGTCTCGCTAATTTAGGACGGCATGTAATGTATGGGGGATCAACTTAATAAAAACATTACTCTTTCATTACTTTGCATTATGTAGGTAGAAGGTAAGGAGTCTTTTTTAATCAAATTGTAAATTATTCAAATATACTGAACCGCAAAGTATTTTGTGTTTATTTCATAAATCTAGGTCAAGTACTTTTAAAGATGTAGTAGTTTTTCTAACCGACCCTTTTTCTTTCCGGTCCAGTGTATTTTCTGATGATAATGATAGTTTTTAACCTATTACTAGAGACGTCATTATCTTGGTAACTACCAGAGATGACGTAGGTATTTTTTATTAGATAGTTGATCAATTTAACGAAGCCCTAAACTGAGTAGTTAGGTACCTTCAATTTCTTTTTTATGGCTTAAATCGTGCTCTAGGGTACTCTAGATTTGCAAATGGTAAGTATTATAAAATAACAGTAACAGTTTCATGATAAAGTACAGCTTGCAAATTTCTTGAAGTTACCTTAAAATATATTTTTTTGGTAGGTACATTTTTTTACATTTCATCGATTCTGTGATTAGATTTATTCGCTTTCTCTGTGTAAAAACGGAACAGGTAAATAGGAAAATGACCTATATACAATGGCTTGTCCATACAATATTCGCACAAGTAACTAGGTAAGTAATAACATCTGGAAAGGTCAACAAAGAAGTCGTCAATGTATTTTTTAGATAGCTTGTATAGAAAATTGGGACGGGTAAACTAGACAGCCATTAGACACGTGTCAGGTACCTTCTGCCCTTTCCTACGCCAGGTATTGTCCTGTAAAAGCCTGTAATTTCCCGAAATACATTTTTATTTTCAACTACAGGGTTACTTGGAAATCGTTGGCATCCTTTTAATATAAAACTCTACTCATGATACATAGTATCATCCCAAATACGAGACAAATCCAATGAGATTTTTTGTCATTATTTCTACTATGTATTTGTATTAGTGTGCTCTTATTTAGACTATTGTACAGTTAACAGCACATCAGGCTATACATTTATATAGCAAAATACATCGAAATAAGATGCCACAGTATGAAGCTTAATGTGTCTGTACAAGATTTTAAATATGGGAATTTTAACTCATTGGATTTGTCTCTTTTGGGGAATGTACTAGTATCATGAGTAGTCTTATTATTTTAAAAGGATGCCAACGATTTCAAAATCATCCTGTATAAAAGCCAAGATTAAGACATTTTCATACCTTAATTGAGTTAACTTTCCGATTTTGCATCAGCCATAAATCAAAGTTCACATCTACATTACATTTCCTGTCTTTTAGCAATGAAAGTGTAATAAAAATTAAATGGTTTTGTGCATCTCAAATTTGAGTGCTCTCAAAGAGGCCTATAAGAGTTATCTCCGGTCAGAATTAAAGTTAACGGGGTAGATAAGGGAGGGTTTACGAGCCAACTTGGGGGAGGGATTCATCGTTCATTAGCGAATTGTTCTTATTGCCGAATTGCTTGCGATTGGCGGAAAAGGTAAGTAAGTAATGCTAAAAGGTTGCTGTGTTTCACTGTCCTTCTGCGAACGTTTTTGTAAATTATAAGTCGCTTTAGGCAATAAATTTACTATCAAAGTGCATAGTATCGAGGACAAGCAAGAGGACCTTGGTAAGGTAGTAGAAGATAACAGATACTATTTATTGTTATACCACAGAAAACTGACCATCAGAAAGAAGACAACAAGACGGAATACTTAGCGACTTAAGCGGTCGTTTTGCTGAGAATTGATCATTTCCAGATATCCTGAGGAGGACAGTTTTAATTGAAGTAGGGAAGGCGATGAAGAATTTTTTCATAAAATATACAGGGTGTTAGGTAAATGGGTATATGAGCCGACACTAGCCCATGTTAACATGGGCATATAAATGGTATGGTGAAGTTAGAAAATTGATATCTTCATTTTAATTATTT